CAAAGTTTAATAAACATTAAAAAAATTTTTTTTTTTAATTTTCACTTTGGTGGTTTCCCAGGAAAGCCAAGACAGGGCCTGGTCCTGGTAGAATGCCACAGAATGGTAAATCTATTATCTACTTTTTCTGAGTTCTGACAAGAGAAAATGAGATGTGAGCCTTTGACTAGGATATAGACAAAGGAAACCTAATACTTCCTTCATTCTGTTAATCCAGCAGAGCTCCACCCTGAAAGATTTGAGCATGATTGACATAATATTAAAGCATCTGATGGGGCTCCTGGGTGGCTCAGTCAGTTGAGCAACTGGCTCTTGGTTTCAGCCCAGGCCATGATCTCATGGTCATGGGATTGAGCCCTACTCCCGGCTCCATGCTGACAGCACAGAGCCTGCTTGGGATTCTCTCTCCCCCTCTCTCTCTGCCCCACCCTTCCACATGTGCACATGCTCATTCTCTCCAAATAAATAAATAAACTTAAAAAAAAATTTTTTAAGTATCTGAGTGATGAAATTTATTTTCTCTTTAATTCCTCTGTAATGAAGAGCCCAAGTCTCAAAACCAAGTAACAGTACAATACTGTAACTGTGCTCTGGACCCAAGAGCATTAACCCTTAATAAAGAAGGACATTCTTGCAAAATGGAGCAGGAGCACTTGGGTCTTCCCAGGCCAGTCAATAGCATTTTCTGACCTCTCAGTGCCTTAGTCTCCAATCTTATAAAAGAAAGATAATGAAATTTTTTCTGTCTATAGAAAGAATGGAGATCCTCAGATAATGAAAAACACCATTCTTTTTTGATGAACCATAATGAGAGAATACTGCTACATCTCAAGGATTCCCACTTGGTCTTTAAAAAAAAAAACAAAAAACACCAGACTGAACCAATATGTTAGGACTTGATAATTTTCTACATTCTTTGGCATTTACCAACCTTTTAAGGAACTAGAAAACAATGAAAATTATTTCCCTGTCCAAATATCATATCAGAAGCTTCTTTTCAAATGGAATTTTAAAACAATGATATTGTGTTAACTAAAAGAACATTATATAGTAATGAGGGCCACTTCATTGGAGAATATAAATGTGATTTTACAACTTAGCATCTGAATTTACTTAAAATTTTTCTGATGACCGACAAAGAGCAGCAAGAAAAACAGGCTAACTCTCTTAGGTTTTTCAGGTTTTTAAATATTTTGCCTCATGGTGTACTGACTTCAAACAAGAGTGGGTAAGAGAGCCATCACTAGATTAAAGATCTAGCTTCATTCAGAATGGGGGAGGGGCTTTTCTGAAAGCTTTTCTGAAAGCAATTTCAGCCATTTTCTCATGGCTATTCAGAAGCACTTTCCTTTTGGGTTTGCCTCTCTATTGTTTTGCTTGTTCAACCATGATTTTAGAATGATTAACATTTTCCCTTTATTCTCATAGAACCTAATTACTGTCCAGTGTCCTTTTGAGTATATTGACTACAGGAAGGTAATGGAAACACAAATGAATCCCAACACCTGGGTTGAGGTTCCCCAACGGATCACATACTCACAGACAACAGCAGAATCAGACACAAATCAGGGTTTGTCCAAGGAATTCCTTGAAGGACACCCATAAAAAAAAGGCTATCCTTCTGTGAGAAATAGAGGTTCTGAGATTATCTGTGGTTACATTGTATACAGTGCTCATGGTGGTTCTACCCTAGAATCCAAAGATTAAGAGAACTGTATAGACCCCTAAATAGAAGGGAAAAAAGAAAACATTAAGTTTGCCATCTGATCCCAAGAATTAGTGACAGTTCCAGGAAAATTCCCTAGGTCATAGGCTTCGGTGTTAAAGTCCTTAAGGATGCAAAGTTAAGATACAAAGGATGCAATCGTCTTCTCACCACCTCTCACTTCTACTTTCCTCTTCACCCACCTCTGGGATGGCAGCAAGTGAGAAGAGAAATAAAATTCAACTCTACTGTCATTTGCACCAATCTGCACATAATGTACTAGCCATCAAGATTTAGGTTTTAAATCTTCACTTTAAAGGGCCCTATAGAGTCTCTGCAAAATTCAGAAAACCAACAGTTAGATGTGTTGGACAAAGGAGAAAATAGAAATGCTGAAAGCCATTGAATCATTTAATAGTCTCCATAAACCTATTGTGAAGCAAAGTTTCATAAAGTGTGAAATGTAAGGGTGGAAGTCACTGACAAGCAGGGAAAAATCCAGTTCCTTACAATAAAACAGAGCTGAGATTTGCGAGTGATCGCCAGGGTTGAGAAAGGCCTGACAGATATAATGGGCTAGAATGACCGATTACCTTAATGTGTTTCCAGGAGAAGCAGACTCAAGTGCTTAAGTGTCATAATCATTAGTAACTTAGGCTGAGTAGGATGATTATATCTACAATAATGCATTACACCAGCTCTTTTTCACCAAGGGCTTCGATATGCTAATGAGAAAAGAAATGAGCAAATTTCATTTAGATGTAATATCCTAAGAATGAAATTTCACAGATTTCATATTCTCTTTTTTTTAATGTTTTTGAGAGAGAGAGACAGAGTGCGAGTGGGGAAGGGTAGAGAGAGAAGGAGACACAGAATCCAAAGCAGGCTCCAGGTTCTGTGCTGACTGGGGCTCGAACCCATGAACCGTGAGATCATGATGGATACTTACTCGACTGAGCCACCCAAGCGCCCCACAGATTTCATGTTCTTATGAACAATTAATGAAATCATATTTGTAACGTGCCAAAATTGCTTACCAAAGAGGCAATCCCAATCTGTACAGAAATCATCATAAAACCCAAAAATACAAATGCAAACTTTTTCCCACCTGCATTTTTAGAGAAAAAACTAAAACCAATTCTTTACACGGTCTCATCATCCTAGAATTGCTTCAGGCAGAATTATATTATTTGGTTCTCACCAGTTTATGTTAAAGTTTCTATTTAACCCCATTCTAGAGTTTGTATCTTTTATAAAGTAAATGCCTAGAGGTTACTACTTTTTTATGAAGTCATAATTAACTAATATTCTAAACATTAATTTCTTCATTTCACTGTTTTATTTAAATTTTAGCACTTTAAAAAATTACAGATTCTGTCAAATATTCTATCCATTCATGTTAGGTGGAATCAGTAGCACCTCAACTGTCAGGAGGCACGGTCTGTGAACCTCATGTCAAATAGCTACGTGAGCAAATAGTGAGATAAACAAGTCATTCGTGGAGACAGAGGTGGAGCTGGGCTTGGTTAGGAATGAATCAGGCCATCCCACAGAGTAGGTGTCTCCTTTGCAAGTTGCTCTTCAGGGCACAATTAAATCCCTTATAAAAGGTCCAGCTCCCAGCTGCCCAGTACACTTGCCAGCAGTGTCAGCGAGCGCTCAACTTCCTTTGGTGAAGTGGGTAAGTCCCAGCCAATGGGGTCATATTCTTCTGTACAAGTCATTTTCCAGCTGTAGTAGATGCTGGGTGGGGGTCAGGAGGATCTATGTACCAGAAAGGATCAGTATCTTACAGGGATATCAAACTCCCACTAACTCCATGCCATTTTATAGCTGGAGCCATCACTTGAATGGAAACATGGCTCTTCTCCCAAGTCTCTGAATTCTTTTTTTTTTTTTTAATGTTTTATTTATTTTTGAGAGAGAGAGAAAGACAGTATGAGCTGGGCAGGGGCAGAGAGAGAGGGAGACAGAATCCACAAAGCAGGCTCCAGGCTCTGAGCTGTCAGCACAGAGCCTGACATAGGGCTTGAACACGTGAACCACGAGATCATGACCTGAGCCAAGGTCAGATGCCCAACCGACTGAGCCACCCAGGTGCCCTCCCCACCAAGTCTCTGAATTCTATAAGTTTGTTTGCATATCAGGGGGTGGAGAGTGGTTCATGTGTGACTCTTATGGGGTTCATCTTCCTAAAAACTGCCATCTCAAGAAGTCACCAATCCTCAGTACTCCTTTTTTATGGTTCTTCTCAATATGGGCCATCTTCATGTAGTTATGACATCTGAAGTATTGGAGTTGAGAAATAATTAAAGAAGCTAGCCAATAACTGAGTATTTGCAACATATCTGAGTTAATACAAATAACATGTACTCTGTTTTCTGCATTGTTATACCTGAATATTATAATGTCACTTTTGCCTAGGAAGAAGTGGTGCTTAATCTTAGAAATAGTGACTTATGAATTATCCTCATAGATCTCATATGTACTACATATGTTGGAAAATAATCCACATTCCCTTTTTATTTTTCTGGTTACCACCTAATGTTTTGCTGCCACAATTAGATCTACATGGCTTATATCCACCTTAAGATACTCTCAAATCTTCTTTCACCTTTTGGCTTTCATTTATTCTCTTTATTCAACTTTAGAGGAAGATACTTATGAATAGCAACATATCAAATTTAAAATTCTACACTCAGATCACTATTTGATCTGAAATGTGCTAGGGAGCAGGAAGAAACAGAAGAAAAGGATATGGATAATCCAGATTGACTAGACGATCAAAAGCTGACTACAGAATAGTCTGAAGATAATTCCCTAGCTTCAAATTTCTCAGGATCTGTCTTCCCCTTTCTAAGTACAATACTGAAAAATAAAATGCTTTGAAAGCCCAGGTTGAAAATAACTACTGTTAGGACACCTGGGTGGCTCAGTCAGTTAAGCATCTGACTCTTGATTTTGGCTCTGGTCATAATCTCAGGTTGGTGAGATCGAGTCCCATGTAGGGCTCTGTGCTGACAGTGTGGAACCTGTTTGGGGTTCTCTCTCTCCCTCTCTCTCTGTGCCCCTCCCTCACTTACGGTTCTCTCTCTCTCTCTCTCTCTCTCTCTCTCTCTCTCTCTCAAAATCAAAAGAAAGAAATAAAAGAAAAGAAAATAAATTACTGTTGTAAATTTAGGGCTCTGACTGAAACAGCATGGATGAAACCTCCCCGAGATGGGAAACAGAGTTTTAATTCTGAATCCTACTTTATTCTTCTAGATTTACTTGAACTTGAAGGAAGGGGAAAAAAATGTCTCCACTTCTGAAAAGCATCTTGGATATCACTGAAATTTTCAATCAATATGCCTTACATGATTGTGATGGGGCAGCACTAAGCAAGAAAGATCTGAAGAACCTCCTTGAAAGGGAATTTGGAGATGTCCTTCGGGTAAGAAATAACAAGAAAAGGAAATCTATTGATTTAGAGTTATAAAATTTCTTCTCAGGAGAGATCATAGCAAAGAATGGTGACTTTGTATCCATTTTATACCACCACAGCTCTACACTACAGTCTTCATCTCTGAGTCTGAAGGCACTTAACAGGCATTGTAGTCTGAGTACTTAAAGAAGTTGCTAACAAGTATTTATTTCATGTACTTGATGGCAACGTCAATGTGAATGAACATTGGAAATTATCACCAAAGATGTCAGATCAAACTAAATTTGAAAGGAATTTAAATTTACTTCCAAAGTTTAATAATTAAAATCAGTGTCTTCTCTAGTAAAATGGTGTTAACATAAACGTTTTGTTCTGTTTACAAACATGGGATAAAAATCTATCAAGGGTACTATTTCAGACATAAATGGCTGCTGTAAAACTTCAAAATTTTTCGTTGTTATTTCTCTCTTGAGGATGAGTTCATATTCACCCAGCTAAAAAGAACTTGAGTTCTTTTGATCAGCATTAAATTACAAGTTACAAAAATTTCCAACAAATGTATGCTTTAAAATGAAGTGTTCGCATTTTACGTAGCGACAAGACTTGAAACACACTGGATTTTTTCCAATTGCTTTCAATGTCTTCTGAGTGTCAGCATATCACAAAATATTCATTGTGTGTATGACTTAAAGTTTACTATTTGTAGATAGTACATTGTAAAATTTTTGTTTTCATTTTTTCATAGAGGCCACATGACCCTGAGACAGTAGATCTGATCCTGGAACTTCTGGATCGCGACTGTAACGGGCTTGTCGATTTCAATGAATTCCTCCTGTTCGTTTTCAAGGTGGCTCAAGCTTGTTATTACGCTCTCAGCCAGGTTTCCGGGCTGGATGAGAAGGGGGTCAGGTGTGAGGGAAAGGAGAACCCGTTACAAGATCCCAGGCAAGAAGACCAGAGATTTGAGCCCCGGGACAGACAACTGGAAGAACACAGGCAGAAAAGGCAGGAACTGGAGAGGGAGCTCGCAGAGGAAGACAAGCAGCGGCTGCAGAGGCGACAACCGGAAGAGCGCCTGGAGGAGGAAGAGCAGCTGAAGAGGCGCAAGGGTCGGGAGCCTGAGGAATTTCCTGACCGAAAGCAAAGGCAAGAGAGGCGGGAGCAGCGCGAGCTCCGGGAAAAAGAGGAGCAGTTGCAAAGGCAGAAGCGGGAGCAGGAGGAGCCGCGGTTGCAGCAGGAGCTGAGGCGCGAGGAGCAGGAGAGACGCGAGCAGATAGAGAGGCGCCAGCAGCAGCTTAGGCGCGGGGAGCCGCGCTTAGAGCAGGAGCTGAGGCGCGAGCAAGAGAGGCGCGAGCAGCAGGAGAGACGCGAGCAGGAACTGAGGCGCGAGCAGAGGCTGAGGCGCGAGGAGCAGGAGAGACGCGAGCAGATAGAGAGGCGCGAGCAGCAGCTTAGGCGCGGGGAGCCGCGCTTAGAGCAGGAGCTAAGGCGCGAGCAAGAGAGGCGCGAGGAGCAGGAGAGACGCGAGGAGGAGCTGAGGAGCGAGGAGTTGCTCTTTGATCAGGAGCTGAGGCGCGAACAGAAGAGGCGTGAGCAGGAGCTGAGACGCGAGCAGAGGCTGAGGCGTGAGGAGCCGCGCTTAGAGCAGGAGTTGAGGCGCGAGCAGGAGAGACGCGAGCAAGAGCTGAGGCGCGAGGAGTTGCCCTTTGAACAGGAGCTGAGGCGCGAGCAGGAGAGGCGCGAGCAGGAGCTGAGACGCGAGCAGCGGCTGAGGCGCGAG